CTTTTTTAAGACTAAATAATATTTCATTGTATGTGTGTGCAACATTTTGTTTATCTGTTCATCCGTTGGTGGTCATTTGGGTTTTTTCCATCTCTAAGCCAATGTGAGTAATTCTGCTGAGAACACTAGTAGAAATATCTGGTCAAGTCCTAACTTTCTTTGAGTATATCCTGAGAAATGGAATTGCTGGATTAAATGTTAATTCTATGTTTAATCTTTTTGAGGAACCACGATACAATTCACAAGGGTTCCAATTTCTCCATATCCATGACATTCTGGGTTTTTCTGTTGTTGTTGTTGTTTCTGTTTTTTTGTTTTTGTTTTTTTTTCCGGTAGCAGCCATCCTAATGGGTATGAAGTGATATCTGATTTGGGGTTTTTCTTTAATATAATTTTTAAAGATTACACTCCATTTACAGTTATTACAAAATATTGGCTGTATTTCCCATGCTGTATAGTACATCCTTGTAGCCTCTCTTACACCTCCTGCTCCCCAACCCCTAGGTTGCCCCTCCCCTCCTTCTCCCCATTGTAACCACAGTTTGTTCTCTGTATCTGTGAATCTACTTTTTTTGTTATATTCACTAGTTTGTTATATTTATTAGATCTACATATAAGTGATATCATACAGTATTTGTCTTTCTCTATCTGACTTATTTCACTTACCATAATGCCCTCCAAGTCCATCCATGTTGCTGCAAATGACGAAATTTCATTCTTTTTTATGGCTGATTTGCATTTCCTTAATGGTTAGTAATGTTGAGCATCTTTTCATGTGCTGATTGCCGTCGAAACACTTTTAATCAGTATGTTTCACGCTATGCCTTAACCAAAATATCACCATGCAGAAATTTAGCAAAACAGCTCCAAATAATTCCAGGAATTAACAGTTTACCCCACCCTGATCCATTTTTAAGGCTTTTTCTAATAAGATAAAATGCTTAGTTTAATAACAATTACTTGCCTTACAATGTCTTATAATTAGATTAGACAATCAAAATGCACGTGCTGAATCCAAACATTTACAGTATTTAATGTGGGGTTGGTATAGATTTAAACAGATAGCCAAACCATCCACTTGTACTTTCTCGTGTTTTTGTACAAACTGTACAATTCTTTTGCTTCTCGGATCTATCTCTCTCTCTCCTTCTTGGCATATGTCTGCTGAATTATTAAGAATCATAATCTATCATGAATCAACTGTAAATATTCACCAGCCAATTCTCCTACATAGGGGATAACATCCTGAGAAGGCTTTAATGCAGTCTGCCATTATATTTGATCGTTAGTAACATTATTATCATAAGTTTTATTAGTATCTACAATGTTAATTTTACTTATGACTCCATATTACACCTTACAACAATACCTTTGTAGTTACAGGATAAATCAGGCAAAATAGTGGTATAATTATTTTGTTGTTCCCCACCCAGTCTACCTTTTCCCATATACCATGTAGTATTTCTCATTAGAGTATAAATCAGAGGCCATATCTGTTACTTCAGAGTCAAAACATCTTGAGTACATAGCCATGTTCCTTCTCCCAGGTTATGTGGTTTGACAGATACTGGTGCCCAGGGAGAAGAGTCCTGCAACAGAACCCATTAATCTGCCACAAGAAGCACTGTAGTGCTATTTCAAATTTGTCCAGTACTCACAAACTGCTCTATAGGGAAAGAATGGTTAGCACTCATTTGGGGCACTAAAGCCAGTAAAGAGCACCTTGACAGGTTGCATCCTCTAGTTAACATTTTCTGTAGACTGCAGGGCCTGTAACTCTCCCATAACTGTGTACCCTGGATTTCTGCTGGGGAATCCCTGGCCATAGTGCTTGGGGTACCTTGGACTCCATTTGAATTAAGATATCTAATGACCTCACTTATGTTAGCATGCAAGCTTGTTCTGTTCCCACTCCTGGGTTGATCTGGGCATGTTGTCTGTCTGTGCTCTAATTAAAAGATTCACTTTGTGAGCACTGTGTCATCACTTCAAGTGGCTTGCCACACGTGTCCTTACTCCTGGAACAGGATACCTTCAGGGCACCCTATTCACGTTAGTAGTCTTTTTCAATCATAGGTGTTTCCTCACTGAAAGCAAGCCTGTGTGGCCAACACTCCTAGCCCAGCTCTCATTTCAGATGGGCCAACACCAGACGTGTTGTTGCCATTAATTACTAACTGCTTTAGTATAATTAAGAAATAAATTTGGTACCCCGAAGCAGTAATCCCTCCAGGCCTAGATCATATGAGAAGTAGTCACTCCTGAACAGACTTTGGTTTGACTTTTCTATAGCACTTCCCATGACCAACCACAACAAATTTCAAAATTCTCAGGAATGTAGCCTCACTAAGTTTCACTTAGTTCTCTTTTTTTTTGTCAGTAATCCCAGTGTCCCAAGTGTCCCTCCTCTTCAGGCCTATTCACCCACAGTAACAGGGCAAATAGCTATTTTTAGACATAATGTTATTATGACAGATGGGACATGTCATTCTACCATCATATTGTGATACCTTTTTTAAATCTTCATCATACAATCAATGGCTACATAATGTTCATTTAGATTATTTTTTGTTTTTTTGAGGGGGAAAGGTAATTAGGGTTATTTATTTATTTAATTTATTTTTAAATGGAGGTACTGAGGATTGAACCCAGGACCTCGTGCATGCTAAGCATGTGTTCTACCACTGAGCTATACCTCCCCCCCACCTTATTATTAAATCAGTGTTTTTCAAGTTCAACCAGTTAAATAGTCCCACAGTTTGCTTCCTAACACAGATCCTCTATGATAGATCCACCCTATGAAATGAGGATCAAAGAAGCTAGCTACATTCATATACTCATACACAGAGCTCCTGTCTCTTCATCCATTTTGAGGACACATGCACTCTGGAAAGTGTGTTTGTTAGGTTAACTATTGTCTAGCTCCCTTTTTGGCTCTTGAGAAGAGAAGGAGATTTCATCAGAGCCCTTCGCCCCAAGAGGCTTCTGAGTCAAAGCTAAGAGAAATACTATTCTCTTGCTTTAAACGTCTCTTGAGACACCAAAATTATGTTAATTTTCCCTTTTGTGGCACCCATTTATTGGTTCCCTTTCCCTCAGCAACAGTCTTGCCTTTCCATTTATCATTAATTTTAACCCACACCTTTCCCCCTAAAGTAGAATGTTCTGTTACAGCCACTGAGCTAGTCCATTCCCAATAACGAGGGGAAAGATTGGATAATTACAGAAAAATGGGGCTATACTATTAGCTGTAGGGGCAATTTTTATTAACAATATGAGCTTCAGTGGGAGCCAGTGGTCCATGCCATTGTCCAGTGCATCTGCCTGTGTTGAATTCCTCCATGTCCATTCATTTCATGGACCTTTGTTGCTATTTCAGGAGATCAAATTAGGCCATCAGCTTGTTATTCCGATCACCTTCAAACCCTAGCATAGGGTTTTTTGGTGAGCATCAACATGTCCTACTTTGATTTGCCCTTAGAATTTCCGCAGAGATTTACAACAGGTGGTGGCCCACATGTGGGGATCTTTTATTGTTCAGTTATTTGTGGCCCACTTGTTAGACCAATTGCAAGTCTACTGGCAACAACCCAGTAGTCAGTATTTACCCACATAATAAGGCTCTTATTTGTGTCCGGTTCCTCTGTCATGGCTGGGAACATAGCATGTAATTCAGCTTAGTGGATCAACTCATTCTTACCTTTTTTGTTAGGGATTTCACCTTCTGCTGGACTCAACATCTGCTTTCAGTACCAAATTGCCCTCAGTTCTGAAACTACCATTGGTGAACCAGACCAATTGCCTAGCATCCTTGGGCAGTTGGTGAGGAGGAAGGATCTGAGAAAAAGGCCCATGGGTACCCTGGTGACATGCTCCATATAGTGCATTTCCATTTTATGATGGAACACCTCTGGGCCTTGCCCTTTTATTGGAATGCTTTTCTGGCATGAAGTAATATTGTAAATGTATATTGGAAACCACTCTACATGAATGTAAATTGTTGCAGGCTTTCACTGGTGACTGATAATGAGAAAAATGCATTAGTGAGATCAGTGTGGGATACTGGTCTCCTTTAGTTTGTTGTATCCGTTGAGTAGTCTGGACCATATTGGGGACAGCTGAGTGTCTTGAGAATGTGGTGTTACTGAGCCCCCCTCTCCCGATGGCCTACTGTTAGTGACTTGATTCATTAGCCTTCCTCACAGGCCACTGGGCTGTCTCAGTGAGTTTATGAACACTAATATAACTGCACATGAAATTTCTTTATTCAGGGGAGTACTGCCTTCCAGGTATCCTGTAGAGTTTTCGGTTTTCTGGCTGAGTTGGCTTAGGTTAATTCTAAAGGCTCCACGTTGCCTGTTTGATGAGTACAGGATAAAGGGATGATCCTAGTTATTCTTTTATATATATATTACATATATATATATACACATTACATTTATATATATATTACTCAGTAGAGGGGAGGAATTTCCATTCAAACGTTATCTCCATATCAATTATGCATTCAGGTAAGGGAGACACCACAATATATATTGTTTTATCATATATTCCAACTTTTAACCAGACTTTAATTTTTATCCCTGTCACAGCATCCTCATGTTCCCCTGAATTAACTCTGTCTTCCCTAAGCGTCTAATTTCAGCCCTAAGCACTACTGTACACTATGCTTCTGTACCCAGTAGTTCTAAAAGAATTTCTTCTCTACCTCCAGTCATTCATGTATACATTTGTAAAAGGTCTTGAATCCCCTGCCAGGGACCCTGGAAGAAGATTGATATGAAGACCAGGGTCCATTTATAAGACAAGGGAGAGGCAGGGCAGTTGTCCATCTCTGGATATATATGGTGGACCCCTCCCTTAATCCATTTTCGTAAACTAGGGGTTTCCCTGTAACAAAAGTGAGCTCTAACATTCTCCTCCACTCAACAATGTTTAAAGCCAGAGACATTGCTCCTTGATCTTAAATTCTTAGGAGCCATTTTTAGCAGAAGTTTATCAGGGTGTTGCATGTAAATCTAAAAAATGGCCCATTTCCTTTACTGAATAACCCCTTCTGTGGTTTTTTTGTCCTCCATCTATCATTTTGCCCTACTTGAATTATCTTAGTTGTAGTGTGTCTCACAAGCTTAGCTGGTTTGTCAAAAATTGTAGTGGCCCAGCTTCCTTTGGTTAGAGCTCCCCCTGCAGCCCAAAGAGGGTGAACCTCATCTAAAGAAGATTCTGAGCTTGTTTGCAGCCAATGCTGAAAGCCACAGCCACACCAGAGTTTTTTAGCTGAACTGCCATCGATTTGCAGTTCTCTTCCAATCCATTTTATGCTAGCTCCTAACGTTCAGTTTCTGTCATTTCCAGACTCCACTGATTTCAAAGCCAATGCTACTTCAAGCTAGTTGTGGCTTGGCAATCACCTAAGCTCATAGTTTCATTTTCATCCCCTTTATCAGAATCATTCTTTTTTCTTTCAAAATAATGCCTTAACCTTATGTAATTAATAATAATTCAGATATGCTGGAAAAACTGGGTATCCACACGCAAAATAATGATGTTGAACCTCTACCTCATAACATATACAAAAATTAATTCAAAATGGATCAAAGACCTAACCCTATGAGCTAAAACTATATAAAACTCTTAGAAGAAAATATAAGATTGACTCTTTATGACCTTGAATTTGTCAGTGGATTTTTAGATATGGGTCTAGTATTCACAATATGTAAAGAATTCTTGCAACTCAAAGACATATATAGTCAGCTGGAATTAAATGCTGTGAAGAAAAATAAAGCAATAGAAAGAGATAAAGCATGATGAAAAGTGCTTATTTAGATAGGGTGGTCAGGAAAAGCCTCTCTAAGGATGACACATTTAAGGAAAGATCAGAATATGAAAAAGGAGCAGCCAAGCAGATATTCCCATTGCTTCCCACTTGCTTTTCCTCTCTGGGGCTTTATGATGATGTCATTACCTTGTATTGAGAAAAGTTATTAAAAACATTCCTTCCACAATTCATTTACTCTCAGAATGTAAGAAGTCGAGAGAAGTCTGTAGTTGTAGTATCATATAATCATATCTCTGTGTAACTGATTTGTTTTTATCCCACAGACATTGGAAATTATATAGCTGACAGTTTCTCTTTCCACGTTGACTGCTAGAAAACTCAGGGATTAATTTGTGCCCTGTCCTCATTGGCCATAGTACTTGTGAAGGTCATTATGGTGTGCCTTTTTTTTTTCCCTAGCTCCATTCTCCTCAAACCTTGATTTTCTTTAACTCTACCATGAATTTATGCTCTCCTGTTATATTTTATGTATCCATGTAAGTTAATCAAAATCCTTTCTAGAACAAGGTGAATTATAAACATGTATATTTATAAAAATAGAAAACATATAGTCAACTATACTTCAATTAAAAGTAAATAAATACTAAAAAAAAATCATAACACATATAATGTGACTATCACAGAGAATTAAAGTCTTTATTGTATAGGCCAGTGGTTCTCAACTGGGGCAGTTTTGTCCCCCAGGGGACATTTGGCAATATAATTATCACAGTTGCGGAAGGCTACTTTCATCCTATGTTGAATAGGACAGCCACCAAATGAAGAATAATCTGGCCCAAAATGTTGATAGTGCCAACGATGGGAAACACTGCTATAGACTGGACCAGTCAACCCATAATTTCATACATTCCAGGGCTGTTGAAACATCTTGTAACCTAAATGACAAGTGTTTCCATGTAGCTTATTCTAGCTTACAATGTATATTCTAACTGGGAAGGTTGGGTGCCCTGCCACTAAGTCTGTCTAGTCCACTATTCCTGAAAGCACTTTTTTCCTCTTTGGAAATCTATATTATGATGCCTGCAAAGTCACAGCTTCAGGTCAACAGAATTGAGGAGAAAGGTGCTTTTCGTTTGAGCTCCAGTATTTTGAATATTTGAATAAGCAACATAGTTAAAATGAGACTGTTCTTTTCATCCGTCCTTCTCTTTGCAGGCTTTCGTAGAGACCATGTTTGCTAGTAAAGCCCCTGTGGAGGAAGGCTTTCTTTACGCTAAGGTGAGCTTTAAATGGCTAGAAAAGTTTTGCTGGAGGCAAATGTAATTTCATTGATTTGCACATGGCATCCATTTGGCTTTCATGGAAGTGAGCAGGATATCAGTGGAGAGGATTTGGTTCTTAAAGTCACAAGTAATTTATTAGATGAGCCTAAAATGTGAAGAGCCACAACTAAAGGAGAAAATTGCAAAGTATAACAGATACAGAAGGAAAGACTTTCACAAATGTGAGGTAAGAAGAATACTGTTCAAGTAAATGTAAAGGCAGAGAATCTGAGGCTATATGGTAGATATCAGATACGAAACAGTCGCCAGCTCTGTCCTAGGACATAATGAAGTTAGTAGAGTTTACCACTTGCCTAGCATCCTTTTTCATAGTTCTAGAGTCTGTAGGTTGGTAGCTTTTTGAAAGGTTGAAATTGCTCATTGAGAGCTGTTGTTCAAAATGCAAGCTGTATTCCAGTGTTGATCTAAATAAAAATAAACAAACAGTAATTTTACATGACCATCTCTGTACTCAGCCTTCATTGTAAGTTTTCTGTGTTCTCTTCTTGACTTAACAGTTTGAAAATCATAGGAAATTTAGAGCACTCAGAAGGAAAGAACAGATTTAATAATAGATTTGAATAACAGTATTGGGCTGAGAACGAAAAAGATGGACTGAGTATATACATCTATCAAAATTCATCAAATTGTACATCTGAAAAAAAAAGAAATGGACTGAAATTATAGCATAAAATTTCAGTTAAATGTGACGGATGGTTTTCTAGTAATGACTTCAGTACTTGAGTGGACGTATGGGCCATTGAAGAGAACCTGGGCTGGGACAGCCCTAAAGAAATCCTTTCTTCAGTTTAGACTTTTAGTCATACTTTGCTGTTGTTTTTCAGTTTGAATTTGAGTGCCGGGCCCGTGGTGCAGACATCTTAGCCTACCCACCTGTGGTTGCTGGAGGTAATCGGTCAAACACTTTGCACTATGTGAAGAATAATCAACTCATCAAGGTACACAAAATGCTTTCAGTGCTGCTCCCTCTCGGTCCAGATGCCCTCTTAGAAAACTCACGGTCCCTTCACCCTCAGCTTTCACAGAATAACTGCCATTCATAAATCATGGTGTTTATAAAATGCTTTTACAGGCATTATCTCATTTGATCCTTCCATTAGCACTGTGAGGTAGGAGCAGTTATTAACATGCTTGTTGAATAGATGAAGAAAATAAACTTTAAAAAATTAGGTAATTCATTAGTGCTGAACCAGCTATTCTATTCTAAAGCCTCTGCTCATTTCCTTTGATAACACTGCTTCTCTAAGGACTTGTGGCAGCAGTGGGCCAAGCACATTGTGGAAGCAGGCAGATTTTAAGGATACCTTATTAGCTGTGAGGGAAGTTATCTTTTATGGTTTTCTCCCCAAGTGACTATATAAACAGAGAATTGTGTATTCCTTTAATAAGTCTACTTCTAATTATATATTTTAATATACAGTAAATTCAAAAGAATAAATATAGCAAATGTGTGAATTATACAACATAATTTTTTTAAATGAATACCCGTGAACCAACCAGTCAACTCAAGAGCTAGAGCATTACCAGTATGTTACATCTACTTAGGTACCCTTATGCTCTGCCATCCTACAGCCCCTCTCCCAAAGGGCACTAACTGATACCCTAACTTTTTGTCACTGTCTTGATTTCTTTCAGTAGTTTTATCTTATAGACATGATTCCCCCAGACAATCTTCATTAGTTCTACTTGTTTAGGGACTATATAAAAGTTACATACTTCTGTATGTAGTTTGGGGGACTTAACTTTTTTTTAACTCAAGTATGACAATACACATTTTTCTACTATTACAAGCAATGTTCTGTGAACATTCTTGTATATTATTCATGGTATATAAGTTCTCAAGTTTGTCTAAGGGACATTTAGTAATCGAATTGCTGGGTCATCAGATGAGCATATTTGCAACTTTAATAAAAAATACCAAACATTTCCAAAGTGGTTATATCAATTTATATATCTCTTCCTTCTGAGATAGTTTGGTAGATTATATTTTTCTGCCATTTTTGCTAAGTTTTTTAATTTGCCCGTAGTGTTTTCTTATCTTTTAATCTTTTGTGTTCGTAGTTATGTACCTTTTTACATTCTTGATATATTTTTGCCTTTTCTTTTTTTCTAATAGATCTTAATAGATCATTTCTTCAAAATGTAAACATACATATTCCTTATGAACTAGCAATTCCTTTTATAGGTATTTTTCCGAGAAAAATTGAGACATATATCCACAAAATGCCTTGTACTAGAATGATGATAGCAAGTTTACTCATAATAATCCAGGGGTCCATAACCAGGATATTGCCACATGGTAAATTCTTAAACTAAAAAGGAGCAAACTATAGCACTACCAACCACATGAGTGATCTTGAAAGCATTATGCTGAAAAAAATAAGCCAGACACAAAAGATTACAAACTGTTTGACTCCATTTATATAAAATTCTGAAATAAGCAAAACTAATCTATAGTGATAGAAATTTGATCAGTGGTTGCTTCTGATGCAGCGTTGACTGGGTTAGGGGTGTGAGGTGTGGTTACATGGCTGTATACATGTGACAAAACTGACTTAAATTTGTATGCTGAAGATCTGTGCAAAGAAATCTCACTAGAGGTTTGTTGGTTTTTACTAGTCGTTTAAAACCAACTTTTCACATCATTAATGCTGTTTTGACTTTGTTTATCATCTCATTACCTGGTGCCCTGGCCTTTGTTAATTTTACTCTTCTACTCTTTGTGTTTATTCTTCTGTTCTTTTTCTAGCTTCTTAAATCGGATGCTAAACTCATTCATTTTCATCCTTTCTTCTTGTCTGGTTATTCAAGGATAGAGATCTCACTTTCATTAGATTCCTACATCCTCTCCGTTCAGTCCTTCAGTGGCTTCAGTTAGACATGTAACAGAGCTCTCTGTTTTTAGCAAGCTAAACTGTCTTTTGTGTTTACATTTGCCTTGTCTGTCTCTGTCACACTCTAGTTGGTAGGTCTGTCTCTCAGGAAACTAAATTTTCTCCTCATTTGTCTAATCTGCTACTTCCGCCATCCACTGAGTGTTTTATTTCAGCACTTGTTTTTATTTCCATTTGGTTCCTTTCAAATCTGCCTAGTTTCAGTGGTCTCTTGTTTCTTGTTAATCTTTGTGATTCTATTCTTTATTTAAACATCTCATAATAGCTATTCAATATCTGATCATTCCATTATCTGAAATCCTGGAATATCTAAATTTGGTATTTGTTGTTCCTACTGACTGTCACACAATGACCTACTGCCTCATATACTTGACAGCCTTTGGTTATGAGCTCATATTTGCTTCATGTTATTTTTGGGAAATCATGCAAGCCCAAACTGGGGGGATACTTCCTTTAACTGTTATTTGCCTATGCTTTAGCCGGAAGTGAAGTGGGTCCTAATGACCTGGGCCCTGTTATCTGCTGTGAGCATCCTGGGTTAATGCAGTGATCTCCGGTTCATTTTCCCCACTTTGCTACACCTCCTTTCCTGTAAACTGTAACACTTACCATATCACTGCTCCCAGTTCTAGTTTCAGTTCTGGGTTGTCTTTATTAAAATAAAATTTAAAAAAAAGTCTTTAAGACGTCTCTTACATGATGTAATGTCATCATTTCATAAAATATGTTTTTATCCACGATCTAGTTGTTTTCTAAAATTTATTCTATCATTTTGCCAGAAAAAAGCTACTTTCGTTCTTAGAAGTTGCCATTGTTACGTTTATTCTTATTTGGCCATTATTCTGTGTGCTAAGTTTCTGTGCTTATTTAGATATGAATAAGATATGGCCTATCTTCAAGGGTATAAATAGAAAATTTCAATGTAACATGACAAGTAGTAAAACTGAGATGTACCCAAAGGGGTTTTTTTGCCCCTACATGTATTTTGATGGAGAGCAGAAGGGGAAATGATATTCTAAAGTTAAATGGTTAAAGGTAATTGCATTTGAATAAAGGCCCTGGATACCAACTTGTATAGAATTTTTTTTTATTAGTAATGATAATGGTAACATTTATGCTGTGCTGATGTTTACACCTAGTAGGTCAAACCCAAGCACTGTGGTTCCAGAGCCAATGCGCGTAACTGCTATACAGTGCCGTCTTACTTGAGCCAATGTGAAGTCATTTGAAAAACTTAGGTGCTATTTCTTGTGAGAAGGAACCAGAGAAGATTAGTCTCCTTTAAATTAGACCTTTTTTTTTAATAAATAAAATGAAAGCCATAAAGAGTTTAAATTAGAAGAAGAAACAACCGACAGTTATAAAGTCACCTGCTTTTGCCTACCTTACTTTTGTTCCAGGATGGGGAAATGGTGCTGCTGGATGGCGGTTGTGAGTCTTCTTGCTACGTGAGTGACATCACTCGAACCTGGCCTGTCAATGGCAGGTAGGGCTTCTACAGATCCCGCTGCTTCTTAGGAGTATGAGTTGGAATGTGGATATATTTGGAATAAACAACTAGAGAAATAGACGGGTCCCCTCTAGCTCAGGTTAACTGCCTTTGCAGAATTCCTGGTTATTTTCCTCAAGACTGTTTTATTCATTTATCTCAGGCTCAGGCACCTAAAAACACCTAGTTAATACACATGCACACATATTTTTAAAAAAATAAACTTAAAGTTTTAGTTTTCTGATTATATAAATAATATTTAGATTATGGTAGAATACTTTGGCCAGATTAAATCCCCATAGGTAATAATTATAGAATCTGGACAAAATATTAAAAACTAGTATTTGGAGGCACCAGAGAGCTTCCAAAAACTGGCAACTGCAGCATAAATCTTTCCCTGAAAGAAGAGCTATAATGAGTAAGATGATAAGATTTTTGCTTGAGGGCATTCCCCAATCCACACAATTTAGGCAGCAGGAAGTCGCTATAGCATTTGGGCATAAGGTGTCAAAGAGCAGAGTTAGGTACTAGCAAACAACCAGAAAGATGGGGGGAAATCCTGGAAGAGAGGGTTCTGCAGAGAGGGTGAGACCAAAAATTTGCGTATAAAATATTCCAAAATCCTTGGCTGATCACTACATTATAAGTTGGGCAGAGACCCCAGGAGGCTGAGCAAAATACCAGCAGCTAAAATTTGAATGGACTGAGCAGAGCTTTTAGTTGCTTCTTACTAAGAGCAGTTTGCAGTTTTAATCCAGCCAAGTTAACAAAATCTCTTTTCAAAAGAACATAACAGAATTTTAGAGTCTCTACATTGTATTATTCTTAATTTCCAATATTCAGTTAAAAAATTGCTAGACACAAGAAGAATCAGGAAAATGTGACCCATAATCAAGAAAAATATAGTCAATAAAAACAGATCCTAAATAACGCTAATGTTCTGATTAACAAACAAAGACTTTAAGGCAGCTAACAATAGATGTACTCAAAGAATTAAAGGAAGATATAAGTGTAATGTGTGAACAGATGGAGAATCTGAGTAAGAAATAAAAAAATATAAAAAGAATCAGGGATACTGGGGAGATGACAACAAAAAATAGTTTTTCAATCTCTCCAAATTGTCCAATAAGAATAGAGCAACTAGGTAGCAAAACCAAATACTACCTGATGGGGTATCACTAAAACCTCAATATGCAAACAGTTATGAACACACTACGTACAGCCACAAGGCCTGGTGGTATCAATATCTGTGTGGGAGGCAGAAGGAGGCAGCAATTGTAGGGAGTGCTATGAGAATGATATGGGAACCCCAAAATACCTAACAACTATTCACTAAAAGGATGATGAACCAGTCTGAGAACAGAAGCTGAAAACAGGAAGGATTTGCCAATCCAATGGCCCAAGAAAGTCTGAAGGTGCTGAGCTCCCTTCTAGGACAGGGGCTCAGACTTAAGGGAAACTGCTGGAAGTAGATTTAAAACTGAGTAGGTTAGGGACTAGAGAGAGGAAGGAATGAGATCCTGCAAACCACAGTGGAGGGGGGGAACTAAACCAGGAAAAATCAGAAAGCAGTTGCCATATGTTTTACCACTACACCAAAAAAGCAGATTACATTCTGTGAAGCATAAATCTTTCCTAAATCCTGCCTCACTCTAAAAGTACAAGAAAATTGATTTCACATAAAATAAGCAATTAAAAAAAGCATCTAGGTTAAATCTCACACAAAATTATTAAAAGCAAAAAGAGAATAAGGAGCAGAATAACATCCCTACAGATGATGAAAGCATGCCACATGGCTGCAAAATAAAACAGTGGCCTGCTGTTTCAGAACAACCTGAAATTTTTAAGCAGAGCATTCAAAACATGAAAGAACAATGTAAATCAGAATTAGAAAATCTTAGAAACAAAGTGGCAAACTCAGGAAAGAATTAGAAATAAAATTTGAAATCATTCCCAGAAAAAAGTCTAGACTTAAAGGTACCCAATAGCAACAAAGCACAATAAAACCTTAGAAAGAAATAGAAGGTGAAACGAAAGAAAACTTTAAGAATCAAAATAAAATAAAAAGAAAAAAGATTATAAGAAAAATGGCAAATATTAAAGATAGGCAAAGAAGTTAGAATATACATATAAAGGAATCCCTGAAGAAGAAAACCAGAGCAAGGGGACAGAACAAATACTAAAAACTACAATTCAATAAAATTTTGCTGAAATTTAAAAAAAAATTGAAACTACCTTTGAAAGAGCATACCATGTACCTGAGAATATCAACCCAGAAAAAAACAGTAAGACATAGTCTAATAAAATTCTGAACCTGCAAGAAAAAGAAAAATTCCTTTTGAGAGATCTAGAAAAAAAAGAACACATGATTAATAAAGGAAAGGAGATTAGACTTTTATCAAACTTTCAAAAACAATGCTTTCTGCAAGAAGAAAACAGAATAACATATTGAAGATGCCCAGAGAAGAAAATTGTGAGCCAAAGGTTTTATCTGCGGCAAAAGAAATTTTCAGCGAATAGGGTACAAATTGTTGTGTAAGAACTCAAGCTGTATGATCAGGAATGAAAGAGGATATCACAATAAAACCTGCAAATAACAAAGGATAATACTATGTGAACGACTATATGTATTCATCATTGTTAGTCATTGAGGAAAATGCACATTAAACTTCTACCCATCCACTAGCATGGCTTAAATAAAAGAGACCAACCACACCGAGTGTTGGCAGTTACACAGTGCAACTGGAACTTTCATACATTGCTCTTGGTGGTGGGAAATACTATAATCACTTTGGGGAAATTTTTGGCAGTTTCTTATAAAATTAAATAGACACTGGTCCTTTGACCTAACAAATCCACTTCTAGGTATTGACCTAGGAGAAATGAAAATGTATGTCCACAAAAGACTTATACAAGAATATTCCTAACAGTTTTGTTCACAATAACCAAAAGCT